AGCTGGCAGAGTCGGAGAGATGTGAGTACACGGAGTTCAGCACCTCAGCTTTGTAATGATTTTAGGTGCAGCCCTGAAGCTGAATGGGTCGTATTTTCATGTGGTGGCATCCAGTGGGCATTTCAAACTGGAACGCCAGTTCGGTGCGGGCCATGCCCAGGCATAACAGCGTTCACGCGCGCGAAGGATGCATGTGCCAATCTGGCGCGGAGCAGAGCGTCAAGGAAGACGATTGCAGCGTAAGTGAACCAACTTGGCCCGTGACATATAGTTTCGTCACCCATAGGAAGCCCCGCATAAGGCCCAGTGGCAGGGTTCGCATGGCAGGCCCGCCTCATTTCGGCACGCCCCCCAAACGTTTCGTGGCCACATAGGGGGCCCCGCAGAAGGCCCCAGTGGTAAGGTTCGCTTGGCGGCCCCGCCCGATTTCGGCACACTCCTCAAACGTTTCGTGGCCCCATATAGAGCCCCGCAGAAGGTCCCAGTGGCAGGGTTCGCATGGCGGCCCTGCCCCATTTCGGCACACTCCCCAAACGTTTCGTGGCCCCGTAGGGAGCTCCACCGAAGACTTTATTCATAATGCGGTACTCACAATTGCATGTGGTTGTGCCCTTCGCCCAGATCATTTGGGGCGGCGGGGGTGCCGGCATCTTCCCTGCTCAGTGCAATGCCAGCGCCCCCCCGCCATCCCTTTCAAAAGCGGTGCAAAGTGCATTTTGCAGCAGAATCTTGGGTCATGCTCGGGGGCCCAGCGAGCACTTCGTATTGTTTTTAGGAGGGGTGGCTTTTGTGCGCAGGGCCACCACCCCTGTCGAAAGACAATACAAACTGTAGTTCGCGGCTAAATCTGGATCATGCGCGGGCATCCCGCGATCACTGTGCATTGGTTTTTGACACGGAAGGCGGGGGTGATGGCATATTGCTTGCTGTGCTCAGGCCCATCAGACATCACGATGCCCACTCCGCCGCGATTGTTCATGGTGGGGGCTGACACGTGTCCCCATGTGCGCGGGCGCACCTGGCACACTCTGCGCGTGCCCCGAACGTGGCGCACCTGACGCGGCTGGAGCATGCGGCGCACTTGGCGCACGTGGCACGTCTGGCGCACCAGGCGCATCCGTGTCTTGCACGCTTGGGCCTCATGGGCGCTTGGCGCGCCTCGTGCGCGCGGCGTGCCTGGCACGCGTGGCGCACCTCGCCCTAGCGTCGCGTACCTGGGGTCTGTATTGGTTCCCAGTAGCTGCCCATCCAAAGCCGACCGGTAACTATGCTGAGACTCGGGTGCTACTTCTGAGTTGGGAGGGCGGGTGGGAGTGCGCCCAGCAGTTTGCGTCTGGGCGAGGCGTCCTGACCACTCCCCCTCCCGCCTCCCTCTGGATCTGCTGTACGAGGCGCTCTGCGAGCGGCCAGGGGGCCCGAGATGGCTCCAAGGGGGCCCTGCCCCCCCAAGAGAGAAGCGGTCGTGCCTGCTCTGGCTTTGCTTGAGCAGCCGCCACGACTCCGCCCGACGCTTCGGCGATGCGGCCACGAAGATCCTGCCTAAGGCAGAACGGAGCCTCGCCGAGCGGTCTCCCCCACCGCCCCCTTCGAGCCCGGGGCCCTCACGCTGGCCCCAGTCACGCCGGTCCCCTTCCTCCCTCCCTGCGGCCCCTCGGCCAGCGAGCACGGCCGCAGGGACGGGGCGCCACCGTGCCTCCATCCGAACCACAACCTTTATCGACTACAAGATGGACCCTTCGCCGACCCTTCGCCGGAGTGCCCTCTGGGGCGGGTCCACCGCCACCGCCTACCAAACCACCCCTAAGCCAACCCGAAGACCCCGACCTGCCCTCCATTTCCAGGGGGGGGTGTGCTGGGAACGTGGAAAAACACAAACACACGTGAAACCCGTGCCCCCCAACCCAATATTCGGGTCTTCGGGTTGGGTTGAGGTGGTCTGGTACAGTGCCGTTTTTAATACATGCTCCGTGTGCGGATCATGTATTAAAACATGCAGGGATTCAGTATTACAAACAACGAGGACTTCATGCAAAAATTATCAATGAATTAATCATGCATTAAAATCCAATAGTTTTAAAAAATCCCATGTTCAAAAACTGCCCTGTAGGTAGTGGCACTGGGGCCGCCCCATCGCTGCTTTGCGAGGCGACAGCAGCGGCCGCTCGGATGGGGCCCCCCTCGCGCCCCCCAAAGCTGCGCAACGGCGGCCACCCCTGCCTGGGCAGCCGACCTGACGCCCATGATGACGGCGTCGGTTGCCACCGAGGGTGGTGCTCCTCCTCGCTCCTGCGGGCTCTCCTGGCGCCTCCTCCCCCACGAGCAGCGCCTGCGGCGCCCACGGCCCAGCCTCGTCCGGGGGCGAGGAGGAGCACCGCTTCTCGGGCGCTGCGCAGGGGGGGGGGGACGATCGATGTCGGCTGCGAGCGAGGGGGAAGTGAAACGGAGAAGGCCCTCTCCCAAGGCGTCGGGGCTTCTCAGAAGCCCGCCGGCCTTCTGAGAAGTGTTCGGTGTCTCTGGAGAAGGCTTAGAAGACCTTTCAGAAGGCCCGAGGCCTTTCCAGCCTTCTGAGCCCGCCCCTTCTCACTCACTTACCCCCCCGGGCTCGCCGCCGAGTGAAGGCAGGTGCAGCTTCTGTGCACCTCAGGGGCCCTAAAGGCCCCCCTTGGGGCCCACAGGGGGCACGAAAGCTGCACGCTTCTCCCCCCCCCCCAGAGGAGGAGGAGGAGGAGGAGGAGGAGGAGGAGGAGAGAGGAGGAGGAGGAGGAGGGAGGAGGAGGAGGAGGAGGAGGAGGAGGAGGGGAGGAGGAGGAGGAGGAGGAGGGGGAGGAGGAGGAGGAGGAGGAGGAGGAGGAGGAGGAGGAGGAGGAGGAGGAGGAGGAGGAGGGGGGAGGAGGAGGAGGAGGGAGGGAGGAGGGGGGAGGAGGAGGAGGGGGAGGAGGAAGGAGGAGGAGGAGGAGGAGGAGTCCGCGGTCGGGAACTTTGCCTCAGCGTGTCGCGCCGCCGGCTCTGGCACGCCTCGCTCCAGCGCGGCGCGCTGCCCGCTCCCCGGTCCCCAGGCGTCAGCACCTGGAGCTTTTCCACCCCTGGCTGGTTCATGATCTGATAACCCAGACATCGGGCGTCTCGAAAAAATCGAGACGGAGGTTTTTCGTCGTTTTCGGCCTCTCGGGGCCCTCGCCGGGCCTGGGGACCGTCAAAAATCGACTCGGGGTGAAAAACCGGTCCCGGGGAAGTGGTCGGGAGGTCGGGGGCCCGTGTCTCGAAAAAATCGAGACGTCGGATGTCTGGGAAGGGTGGCGGTGATATCCATGGCCAAGCCTTAGTTGGTCTTCCACCGGCTTCCAGACCCCGAGTTCCATATACAATGGTTTCTTATCCAATGCCCTCGCTGTTTTGAGAGTTCCCTTCTCCCCACCCCGTCTCTCGTCCTCGTTCGCATTCTCGTCATCGCCATCGTCCTGCAGAGTCAGGCCCGCTCCTCCTCCTCCTCCTCCTCCTCCTCCTCCTCCTCTTCCTGCTCCTCCTCCTCCTCCTCCTCCTCGGTCGAAGGGTTCGGTCGACGGGCCCCCCGTCTGAGGCAGACTGAGGCCTGCTGGTGGCGTTGCTGGTTGATCGAGGCCGCGCATCCGTGCATGTGCTGCCGTGGCCTTGCCAGGAGGGCGTGTGCGCCGATCTCCGGCCAGGGTCGGCTTTGCAGTTATGGAGCCCGACGTTCTCAGCCACATCGTGTGCCTGAGATGCAGCTGCAGCACGTGTGGGAACTGCGGAAAGCGGCGACGTGTTCCGACGCTGCTGGGCGTGATTCAGGAGGGAAGACAACACCAGACACACAATGCATCGTCGCTTCCCAGGAAAACATGGGAAAATGAGGGAAGTGGGGGGAGGACGAAATCTCAGAAAATGCGGGGAACATGTGGAGACTCCTGGGATCTGTGTGCACGGATTCGTGTGTCCTTGGGCCCCTTTCGTGCTGTGGGGCGCCGCAGCTGGCGATCCGCTGCGCAGCACACCCTCGCGGGCTTTTGGGGGGGGCTCGCGGGCCTTGCCCCCTCCGCCTCCTGCAGGGCACATCGTGCCGCCACCTCGAGGCCCTCCCCCTCCTCCTCCTCCTCCTCCTCCTCCTCCTCCTCCTCCTCCTTCTCCTCCTCCTCCTCCTCCTCCTCCTCCTCCTCCTCCTCCTCCTCCTCGGCTGCCAGGGCAACCCGCGAGAGCAGGCTCATCGCCCCCAGGTCCTGAGGTAGGTGACCAGCACGTTGTCGACGGAGCTTCCATGGTGCAATATCACCGGGCACGCAGGCCTCGGCAAAAACAGCAGACACGCCTGCCACACGTTCACCGGTCAACGCGCTCCCCCTCCCCCCCGATGCTCAAAGTCGGCGGTGGGTCTGATGGCTTGCGCTTCGACCGCAGGCTCCCGCGCGCGTGCCAACTTTCAGTTTGGGGGAGCGGGGGAGTGCCCACGAATTGTTTCCCCTTACCGTAGTGCCTAGCCAAGTCAGACCAGGATGGTGCTAAGGGTGATTCAAGGTCAAGGTCCTGGTCCTGCTCCTGCTCCTGCTCCTGCTTCTTTTTTTGCTGCTGCTCCCCCGCGGCTGCCCCTTGTCCGCCACGGCCGCTGCCTGCTGCTGCTGCTGCTGCTGCTGCTGCTGCTGCTGCTGCTGCCAGTGGCCTGCCTCCTACTGCGCCTGATCCCGCGGCTGCTCCACCCGTCCATCGGCTCACGACGTCGAGCGCCCGTCGAAACGCGCACCGCTTTCTGTCTGGGGCGGACTTGGGCGCATCGCCGTCGCCTCCAGCACGCCTCGAAGTGCTCCTCGATCGCATCAGTCCCTTCCTTGCTCGTCCCAGGCGTGGCATGAGGAGGGGTGGCGGACATTAGTATGAGAATGATGATAAGGAGGATGAAGGGGAAGAGGCGGATGAGGGGTAGCCTCGCACGTCTCTTTCTCAACTTGTGATTTTCCTGATCCTTGCTTGCCGTGCACCCCGTCCACGTTCTCCTCCTCCTCCTCCTCCTCCTCCTTCTTCTGCTCCTCATACTCATCCTTCCTCTCCTGCAGTGTTTTTTTCGGTTTATCCTCACAGCCGTAGCTTTTGAAGCTCATTTCTTTTGCGTCCAAGCCTCAGTGCAAATACGCGCTCGGCATCCCCACCACCATCGATGCCGCTGTTCGGCCTGCTGTGCAGACTGCATGCAGTGCCCCGGTTTGCCCGAGCTGTTGCGATTGTCCCTGCAATGAAGCAGATCCCGTTGCTAGGGCAGCCCGCAGCAGTTGTGCGTCGTCTGCATGGATTGACGAAGTGCCGCGTGGTTCTTCCCTTGCCCGCAGCGGCTTTCTGTTTATTCGCAGTCAACAATTTGGTACAGGATTATTTTGGGACCAGCAAGGACTTTTTCCACGGCTCCTTCACGACGACGAAGGACCCAGATGACATAGCCGAGTTCTACCAGGCCGAAGACCTTTTGAAGGTCATCGCCGGGCACCCCTTCTTCTTCAGATTGTTTATGGACAAGGTAGTGGTAGGAGACACTCCAGTAGAGGAACATCAGGCGCTCCTGTCGGTTGACGAGTCGCGGATGACTGTGAAGAATTTGGGTATGGAGGTCGCTTTCAAGATCACTGACCAGGATGAGGATTTCGAGGGGAAAGCCATGAGAACTTTCACTCGCCACGAGCGGTTCTTGGATTACTTTCCTCTTCTGAGCGACTGGGGCTTCAAGGTTCTCCTCTGGGACCAGACATGGACGTACGGATTCCGATGCCATGAGGGCGGCGTGGTGGAGGTGTACCACCATGGCAACGACTTCTACGGACCTTGGCCCGTCCGGTTGATTGTTCAACTCCATCAGCGCTACGTGCTTTGGGCGTGCAACAGGTTGATCAACAGCGAGGCGTTTGGCAACGACGAGGATGGCTTCTGGGCGGAGAAGAAGCAGGAGATGCTCGACTGCATGCCCAGGGTCGCCTCACCTTTTCGTGCCAAGGAGCGGACGTACTCAGAGGGCTGTGCGATGCGCATCGTGATCGGCTGAGACTCAGGCGGAGGAGAAGCTTGGCAGCCCCCCAACATACTAATACTATGTGTGCGTTGCCCCCCCCCCCCCCCCCCTCCCCCCCCCCTCCCCCCCCAGGGGCGACGCGGCACCGACAAATCTTGTAGCATCTGCGTCGTGGCGGGCGCTTTCTGGCCGTACCGCTCGGGAAACGACCTGGTACGAGATGGTTGTGCCATGCGTTCGGGTCGGACGCACGCCTCCGAGGAGAACACACAGTACTAGCATGTCCTTGTGCGTCCCAGGCGCAGCAGCAGCAGGAGGGGGAGGAGGAGGATGCCGATCTGCCCTTTCGGAGTGTGTGCAGAGAGGCCTGGCGTCCCGGCCCGCCCTGACCCTCCGCGGCGCCACTGCCCCCGCCCCCTCTGTTGAGACTCGACTGCAGGGGATGCTTGTAATTCGATGCGCCCCGTGCCCGGCGGCGAGCGAGGGAGGGAAACGAGAAGCAGCACGCCTTCTCAAGAGGCGGCGGGGCTCCTCAGAAGCCCTCGCTCCTCCTGAGAAGTTTCTGTGCGCCTTCGGGGAGGGCTCAGAATACTTCTCCGAAGCCCGGGGGGCTTCTGAGCCTTTTGAGAAGGCCTTCTCCTTCTAACTCCCCCCCCCCCCGGCTGGCCGCCGATGTGCGCCTGGGGGGCTATCCCCTTCGAGCGTTGCATGTGGCGTCCCCGCTGGTCTGACCCGTGCTTGGTCAGGTGCGCCTCGTTCAGAGGCAGCTGGCCTGCGCTTCTGAGCGTCAGAGCTTCAGATCGGACGCTGATCGTCAGAGTCCGCGCGTGCACGTCTGTCCCCATGTGTGAGCGCTCGCAGTGCCGGTGCCGAGCGCTCCCTGGGTGTCGCCGATTTTGTGTTGGCGACCTTCGTTGCAGTCGACGTCGTGTCCTCGCGTTCGCACGACCCCGCAGGGATCTCGTTGTGCGGGTCGCGAGGGCCCTCGGCGCGCAGGTGTACAGTCGCGACGTCGCCCGAGCGCCTGGATGCTGCGGGCATGGAACAGCAGGATTTGGGTGCCCGCGGCCAGGTGGCGTTCAAAATGGGAGCGCTCCGCTCTGCCCCCTCGGGATTACGTCGGGCCTGTCCCTCTACAGGGGGAATATTCAAAAATAGTCAAAAAATAAAGCGGGGGCTATTTTTTGAGTATTTTTTGGCATCTTTTTTTTTTTTTGAGAATTTATTATTTTTCGTCCAAAATCCCCCTGTAGGGGGACAGGCCCGACCTAACCTCAGGAGTCAGCCCTCCAGCCTCCCTGCTTCTCCTCCGTCCTCCCCAGTGCCTTCCCGGGTAGGGGAACTCTTGGGGCCTCCCCTCAACGTGTTTGACCACGCGTTCAGGTGATGGTCGTGCCTGCGCAGGCCGATCCAGCTCCTGTCCAGTCCACATGCCAGCAAAAACTGGGATCAGATGGTGAGTGCCACCACCATCTCCTCCCGCTTCTCCTCAGCTGTTTCGCGCTTGAGCGATCTGCTGGTTCCCCCCCAATGTTCTGCATCTTTCCAACTTCGCAACGGCAGCGTGAGCAAGAGCCTAAGATGTCCGGCATAATGTGTGCAGGCGACTGGATGTGCACCGAGCACCGATACGTCAGTAAGTTGCCAGTGCGGCAAAGATGCTGAACGTGTCTTCCGCCACCGCGAACGACCAAAGCGGCATCCAGTGAAAGGGCCGTGCACCGACGGTGCCCACTCCTGCGCGTGGGTCATCACGAGGAGCGACCGCTGTCCCCCTTCCGAGGGAGGGTGGCAGCCGCGTCGAGCGCCACTCCGTGGGGCGCCCCGGCGCCACGTCTGCTGTACAGCGCGGTGGGTGCATGAGGTTCTCGGAAGACAGGAGTCCGGGTGAGCAGGCAGGCGGGCCGCTGGAGACTGCCCCGGAGCCCGGCCGCGAACGGGCGAGTCGCCTGCCCCCCGGCGGTTCCCCCTGGGGTGCCCAGATACTGCGAGCGTGAGGCTCCCCAGAGAGAGAGAGAGATCTTTGCAACCACGCAGGCAAACCTGCCGAGACAGCCCCACAGCCTGTCCGCGACCAGGCAAGTGTCATGCCCCCTGGCGTCTCCCCCTCAGGTTGCCTAAATACCACGCCTGCGAGATCGCGGTGAGCATGCGGCTCTCAAGAGAGAGAGAGAGAGATAGAGAGATTTGCAGTCAAATGAAGAGGGCGAGTTTGACTATGAGGGAGTCTGAGTGTGGCTTAGCTGAGTATGAGTGTTTATGAGTTTGAACGAGTCTGTGTGTGAGTGCTTCTGTGTGTGTGTGGATGATTTGGAATATGAATAACTGAGTAAACGTGCTATTTGTGTGTTGTGTGGGAATGAACGGGTTGAATTATTTTAGGTGTGAGCGAGTCTGAGTGCGAGTGACTCTGGAGGCGGATGAGTCTGAGTGTGAGTTGTGAGTGGGGTGCGAATGCGTCTGAGCATGAGTATGCGTGGGTGTCTGAGTGCGAGGAGGGAGAAGGGAGGAAGCTGGAGGTGAGGAGTAGGAGAAGGAGGGCGGAGGCGTCACACTAACAAAACAATGCCCATCCTCGGGCATGGGGACTAAGGGACCAGGCCCCCCCCCCGAGAGGGGGGGGAGTATGAGGGAAACACGAATAGCCTGACGAAGAACCCAGCCCTTTCTCAACGCGAGGCGGCCGTAACACAGGACCGCTCAACGCGCGAGAACACGTTGAGAGGTCTGAGAGAGCGTGATCCACCGCCGCTTTACTATGGAAAATTCCCGTCCCTCTTCCTCCAGAACCCGGGGGTCCCCGTCCCCCCTCCGAAAATCACCCCCCCCACCCTGCTGGAACCCCCCTCCCCCCCTTCCCCCTGGAAAAAAAAACCCTCCCCTAACCCCCCCCCCTCCGGAAAACAAGGGGGTGTCACTACTGGTTTGAACCCCTCCCCCTCCCCTCCCAGAAAACCAGAGAGGGGTCACTACCATTTCGACCCCCCCCCCTCCAGAACAGGGGGGGTCACTACCGGTTCGAACCCCCGCCCCCCCTTCCCTCGAAAACCGGGGGGGGTCACTACCGGTTCGAACCCCCCCCCGTCCCCCCTCGAAAACCGGGGGGGGTCACTACCGGTTCGAACCCCTCCCCCCCCCTCGATCACCACTGTCCCCACCACCACCGTCCCCATCACTGCCCGCACCACTGTCCCACTGTCCCCGCACCACTGTCCCCACCACCACCACCGTTTCCACCACTGTCCCAGCATCCCCACTATTGTCCAACTGTCCCGAGGAGCGGGAATCGTTTGCCTGCGGCGAGGGGGGGGTGGATTCGAACCCGTAGTGACCCCCCCCGGTTTTCGAGGGGGGTGGGAGGGGTTCGAACCGGTAGTGACCCCCCCGGTTTTCGAGGGGGAGGGGGGGGGGGTCGAATGGGTAGTGACCCCCCCCCCCTTTTCATGATGGACTGGGGGGGGGTAGGGGAGGGGTTCAAACCGGTAGTGACCCCCCCTCCGTTTTCGAGGGGGGCGGCGGGGGGACGGGTTGGGAACCCCCAGTGACCCCCCCCGATTATCCGCCAGCAGCGATAGAACACGCTCTTTCAGAGGTCTGCAGCACCCTAAAACTCTTCGCCAAGAAACGTTGGACCACACCCAAAAGTTCTCCATTCACGCACGCACTCTCGCGACTCGAACCGCCATGAGGTCGACGAGGAACGCGCCGCGGAGCAGGAGGGCGCGGGAGCTATGGGTGGAGCTTCTCGGGAGGCAGGATGCGTGAGTAGAGATGTGCCCACATGCGAGCGGGGACGCCCTGTGGACACCCCCGACTGGGGCCGTGGCTGGGACGCCCTCGGGGGCAGAAAGCGTGCGAGGGGTGTGCCGACGTGGGTGCGGGGGCGCTGCATATGGACACCCCCCCCGTGGGGCCATAGGTGGGGCTCCCTGGGAGGCCGGAGCAGAGCGAGGGGCGTGCCGACGTGAGCGAAGGGGGCGCAACGTGGACACCCGCACTGGCGCCAGAGGTGGAGCCCCCTGGAGGGCAGGAAACGTGTGAGTAGCGTCTCTCTGCTAATTAAAGCTGTGCGCGTCCCGCTTAGCTTTCAGCGGAGGAGGTTCGCTCTCGCCCTGCAGACCAAAAAAGTGTGCCGAAGTGTGCGCGGGGGGTGGGCATCCCCCAACTGGGGCAACTCATCTCCCCGGGGTGCAGGAGACGCGCGAGGGGTGTGCCGAAATGAGCGGGGGGACGCCGTGTGGACACCCCCGCTGGGGCCAGAAGTGAAGCTCCCTGGAGGGCAGGACACGCGTGACGGGTGTGCCGGAAGGTGCGCGGGGACGCCATGTGAACACCCCCATTTGGAGCAATCTATGGAGCTCTCTGGAGGGCAGGAAACGCGTGAGGGGTGTGCCGACGTGTGCGCTGGGACGCCATGCGAACACCCCCACTGGGGCCACTGATGGAGCCCCCTTGGGGGCAGGAAACGTGTGAGGGGTACGTCGGAATGTGCGCTGGGACGCCATGTGGTCACTCCCGCTGGGGCCACAGGCGGAGCTTCCGGTGGGGGCATGAGACGCGCGAGGAGTATGCCGAAACGGGTTTAGCAAAAACAGCAGGAGAGGCAGCGATGGCATGAGGTAAGAGTCGGCGGCGAGGAGGTAAGAGTCCTTCTCCTCCTGTTTTCGCCAGGGGGGCAAGAGGTCCTGTTCGGCGGCGAGCGAGGAGGCTCGGAAGTCCCCCCGCCTTCCAAAACGTTTTCCTAGCCGTCCCCGAAGGCGCAGAAAGCTTCCCAGAAAGTGCGGGGGCTTCTGAGAAGTCCCGCCGCCTTCTGAGAAGGCCTTCTCCTTCTCACTTTCCCCCCCTCGCCGGCCGCCGAAAGCAAGGAGTGGGAAGGAGGAGGAGGAGGAGGAGGAGGAAAATGATGATGACGATGATGGTGGTGGTGGTGATGGTGATGGTGGTGGTGATGATGATGACGATGATGATGCTGCTGATGATGATGACGATGATGATGCTGCTGATGCTGATGCTGATACTGATGCTGCTGCTGCTGCTGATCATGAAGATGATGAGGTTGATGATGCTGCTGATGATGCTGATGATGATGCTGATACTGCTGCTACTGAGGATGCTGTTGATGATGATGATGCTGCTGCTGATGATGTTGTTGTTGTTATTGATGATGCTGATGATGCTGATGCTGATGATGATGATGCTGATGATGATGACGATGATGACGATGATGACGATGATGATGATGATGATTATGATGATGATGATGATGCTGATGCTGATGATGATGATGATGCTGCTGCTGATGCTGATGCTGATACTGCTGCTGCTGCTGCTGCTGATCATGAAGATGATGAGGTTGATGATGCTGCTGGTGATGCTGATGATGATGCTGATACTGCTGCTACTGAGGATGCTGCTGATGATGATGATGCTGCTGCTGATGATGCTGTTGTTGTTGTTATTGATGATGCTGATGATGCTGATGCTGATGATGATGATGCTGATGATGATGATGATGATGACGATGATGACGATGATGACGATGATGATGATGATGATGCTGATGATGATTATGATTATGATGATGATGCTGATGATGATGATGATGCTGATGATGATGATGATGATGACGATGATGATGATGATGATGATGAGGAGGAGGAGGAGGAGGAGGATGCTGATGATGATGCTGCTGCTGCTGCTGATGATGATGATGATGATGATGATGATGATGATGATGATGATGATGATGATGATGATGATGATGATGATGACGAGGAGGAGGAGGAGGAGGAGGAGGAGGAGGAGCAGCAGCAGCAGCAGCAGCAGGAGGAGGAGGAGGAGGAGGAGGAGGACGAGCAGGAAGGGAAAAAGGAGGCCGAGGGCCCCGCACCCGAGGAGCGTCGGCGAGCCGCCCTCCTCGCCGCTGGGCGCCTCAAGCAGCGCCCTTTCGGCCCCCCGGCCTCGGGCGCTCGCCCGCGGCCCCCACGGCGGCCCCGCCCGCGCGGCGCCACGGAGAGGACGTGTCCTCGTGGCGGACTTCGGAGGAGGGTCTCCACTCGCAGGCGGCTCGTGCTCGGGGCG